ATGAGTAACTATTTTAAATGTTATTTTCATTGTTGATTATATTTCGAGTAAATAATTTTAAAAAATGTTCTCTTCTATGAGCTCTTCTATTTTTGAAATGCCTCTGAGTATTTCCTCAACTCATCTGACAAAAGCATACGCACCCATTCGGATGTCTACGTTTGGCAGCTTGCAGTGCGTCTGGCCCTAACAGGGAAATTACTTTGTTCCCAGGCCTCATTAGACAAAGACAGCATAAGACAATGTCAGGAAATGTTTCTCTGTTGTCATCCTCCCAGGTGGTGCAGTTTTATTTAAGGACAGTGACGCACCGTCCCATGTAGCCTGGTCCTTCAGAAGAGACAATAACAGGCCCTGGGCAGTTGGTGGTCAAAAGAAGGTGCTGGTGTATGAGAGGGCAGTGTGAAAAAACTGCTGGTCCAAGGTCAGCCAAAGGGGAAGGATGAGGAATTTCAGCTCTGTTTGAATTCCTGCCAAACTCTCTCTGCCTCTAAGGCTGGGAGGATTTCTGGGTGGTTTATGCTGAATATTCAGGGCAGATGTCAAACTAACAGATGGCACAGGGCAATGTATCCTCCTAATATGATTCCCCTTTAATATTACAGAGCAATCCTGCACCTAATATATACAGTCAAACCAAAATGTATTCAGACACCTTCAACATTTCTCACTTTATCACAGTTTACTCACTATAGTTTAGAAAATAATAATAAAATATGATAATAACTTATCAAATAGTAGAATTTTCGGATTCTGTGGTTGTAACACCCACACCTCTACAATGGTAGCACAGATGCACAGGAACAATCCTTTATAAAACGCATAAAACTTTAGTTTACAAAGACGTGAAACTCACCGAGTGGTCTGGGGTGTTCAGTCACTGATATGCTCACACAAAAATCGCTGCAAAAGATGCTTTCCAACAGGTGTTTTACCATTCGTTCGTTGTAAAACTGTAGACCTATTTTTCCCGAACGCCTCACAACCGTACATTCTATGAATAACAGACACTCCAGCCTAGTTGGTGGCGATAATGCACCTTTGCCAATTGCAAGCAAACCACTTGTATAGTGTAGCCTATGATACCGCGACTGCGTAAGACTACAGAAAGAATACAAACAGGCCCATTTCCGTTTCCGGCGGCGGAGTAATACCGTACATCACAGAACATACATACAAGTTGTACAAAAACTATGATAAAACCTGTTGGAAAGCATCTTTTGCAGCAATTTTTGTGTGAGTATATCAGTGAACACCTCAGACCACTCGGTGAGTTTCACGTCTTTGTAAACTAAAGTTTTAAAGTTTTATTTATAACCACAGAAACTGAAAATTGAAAAACTGAAAATTCTCGGGACAGCAGCATTTGTCTAAAAAAACATCTCAACCATTCTATTTCATCAGAAACGATCTTAAAACAGGGTTTAATTGTAAAATACCGAACTTGTCCTTTAAATTAAAAAAAAAAAAAAAAACACTTAAGGAAAACATGGTCAGGTCAAATTGTCTGAATAATTTTTGGTCCCAAATACATTTTTACTGGTAGTCCACTGTCGGAAGAATTTTTGGGTATAATATGTCACAGTTTACTTTATTTTGTTATCCTTACTTACATAAATTAACTTTAGTGTCCTGCACCCACTAGTAAAAATATATATAAGAAAATGATATGATGTCTGAATTATTTTTGTTTTGACTGTAACTAATGCATATTGGTACCTGTTTGTGGAAAATGTTATATAAAAATAATACATTATTGCTTTAAAAAAAACACATTTTTTTCTCAGTGTTTCTCATTCAATGTTCAAGTTTAGTGACTGATTTGATGACTCTTTATGATGACAGTTGCTTGTTTCGTTAAAAAAGGAATCAGTGCTTTTGAACGAATTGGTTCTATCTTACCAAAAATTGTAAATGAAGTACAGTATATATCACCTGAGAAATATTCTCTGCAACTATACTAAGCCACTGCTAAACATTTAGATTTATGAACAAGGCAGTTATACATTTGAACATTTACCAGCTATGATGCAGATTCAATAAAACGCTGAAAATGAAACTTGATCTGCCTTTTGCAAACGTTAGCACAATGACCTGGGTGTGTCTTTTATGTGAGCGGAGGGATATATGATACGATCGGTATCGAATCACACTAGACTGACATTTGGCCTTGGTTACCAAGAGACGTCACACTTCTGACCAAGACGACAGCTGTTGCTTGACACACTAAACCTAATCCAACCTAAATGGGTAACTGAGTTTCTCTAAAGGATGTTGTCTATTTCAGTGTCTAACATTTCTAGCCCATATAGTCTCTCAGATTTATGCTAATTTAAGTAAAACAAAAGATAAAAAAGACACATATTTAGGCCTAAATGTAAGATTTATGTAAATTGCATCTATTTGGATTACACTGTTTTAACATAAACATACTAATAAAGTTAATGTTATGGTTGTTATTCATACATAAATTAAATGGTAAATATATTTTAAGTAATACATATTGGTTGTTCCACTGCTAGCCATACTGATTATGGGTTTTATGGTTGATGATTTGAAAAATATTAAATAAATGCATTTAGAAAATTATTTAAATATGATGCAAATAGTTGCCATGCTAAACTATGCCATTATGTTTTAACTGGTTAACTTTTGTTGTTACCTGTTTCATTTATGCAAAACTGACAAACATGCATAACATTTTATTAGTTTGTTTGTTAAAATGGTCTAATTCAAATGGATAGAAATTTCATATGCAATTTTAATACATACATCTTATGTTTATTCCTACTTTTTATTTTGAGGACACGGCAGAAAAAAGGGCAACACAAAATGCATGGACTAGAAAGTCCCCTCAAACGGGCCTTCTATAACGAGTCAGTTAGACGGCAATGTCTGCCATTTGATAAGGTTTTTCCATAAATTATGAGCTCAGTGTCATTCTACTCTCACCACGCGCATCTTATTAGGTCTCAAATGAGCAACAAAGTGTTAATGCCACCAGAAATGAAATGGCAGATTAGACCCATATCCACAGTATCAAAACTTGCCAAATGTGAGTTTGTATTATGAATTTAAACAAAGCCCTAAGTATTACATTTTACTGCTGATTTTACACCATTTGTGCTCCAGACATGAATAATAGGTTAACTTTTACATCTATTAATTTAGCAGATGCTTCTATCCAAATCAACTCAATTGGTGTGTTAATTTTTCCAAGTGATCAGTGAGTTTTGCCTGGACAAGCACCACTTTCATCTTCTAGTGCATTGTGCATTCATCAATGGCAAACATGACTGTGTGTATGAATTATTACATACATTACACAATTTTTTTAGAGAAAAAAAATACTTTCCCCCCTAAACATGTCAATCACATTTCATTATAGATGTTAACATTCCAGACATCCCTTTCTCCCCCATCATCTGTACGTCTCCCTGCTTTTGAGGGTGAGGTGTTTACACTGATAATAACGAATCTGAAACAGGATACTGGGTGACTGGGGGAGAAGACAGACCCTCACAGCACACACTTGCATAATAGGATGGGGAAGAGCTTACACTTCTCTCCTTTTAGCAGGAAATGGGCGAAACCTGGGTCGAAATTATTTCTCCGACATTTTGTGCTGTGAAGGAAGTGTCTCCTGATAGAAGAGGTCTTTTGGTTTCCTGTTGTGCACCAACAGTTCCCCCCCACACACACATTTCAACCCAGAAAAAAAAAATTATAAAATAATATATATATATATATTATATAAAATTCATAGATATTTTAATACCACAAGCACAATTACAATATTACTGCATTATTACTGTAATTCAACGTTTCTCCCTTTAAATCTCACTGTGACTGTATGAGTGTTTTACTATTTCAGAAACATTATTTTACTTAGTGCTGTAAAATTGATTCATTGCATCTAACACAAAAGTTTTGTTTTTTTTTAATGTGTATATATACATTTTTTATTAAATATATTTATATAGTAAAGGGCTGTCAAATCGATTAATCACACATGTATGTATAAAAGTGTGCGTGTGTGTCGCTGTCAAATCGATTAATCACACATGCATAAATGTGTGTGTGATCACTAATTTCACTGAAATAGCAATGAAGATTACCTATTAATTGTCATTTAAGTAAAATTACTGAGCTTAAATATACAAGCTTGATAATGATCATTCTAGAAGAAAATGTCAAATGGCACTTAGAGGATTTTGCATCTGAACTTCATATTCATATATATTAGACACACACACACGCTTATGCATACATGTGTGATTCATCCATTTGACAGCCCTTTACTAAATATAAATATATATGTAATACAATTATTTATCATTTAATATATACATCATATAGTTTTTGTTTTCGTATTACAGTAATGAGAATTTTGGGTAAAAACGTGCATTATTTTTTATATAATAATATAACGCAAAAATTCACAGAAGATGAACATTCAAAGTAGAGGCATTATAAAAATCTTTTGATTTTTGGGTATAATATGACTGAACCATGTTTATAGTTTACATCAAAATATTAGTTAGTTATTTTTTGGGTATAATATGAATAAGGATATTGACAGATATAGCGAGATTTACCGTAACGCAGATCGTTGTTTTTATTTTTATAATTTTCCCATAACTTAGACTAGGGATATTAAGTAAAAATTGCTAGTAGGTCTTTCACTATTGGTCTAATCCGGGGTTTTCCATGTACAGGAAATGTGTGGAAAAACGCCTGCACATAAGATGTGTGGTGGAAGAGATAAACATTCCAAACTTCAAACACACAGATGAAGGTATAGCAGGCGGCTTATCAAGGACTATGATAACAAATGGAACACATCAGGAACTAGTCAAGGTAGCTTTTGCGTAAAGGAGCTCTTCAAGGCACCAGGATTATTAGCTTTAACTTCACCAATCCACCTGTATAGAAATTTGGACAAATGCTTCACTAGAAATGCTTGGATGCGTCATTCATGATAAATCACATTCAATTGCTCAGAGCACACATTTTGTTCATTCAGTGAAAACGTTCGGCCTCTTTCATAGATTTAAAATAATCAAGTATTTTAATCTTTAGACTGAGATGTCACACGATAGTTATGAGAAACAACATTTTTAATTACTTGAAATAAATACTCCAGTACATGCATGATAAAAAATGAGGGGGTGGGGGGGGGGCAGCACATTAAAATATCATTGTAAGTCTTGTAAATAGTGTAAAACCTATGGCACACACTCACAGCAGCTTTAACTCATTAGAAATTCACACATGGAATACGAACAATATGATGCTGATGATTTCTACAGATCTCAATGACATCCATTCAGCTGAACACTGAGGTAAAGACTTTCAGTTTTATTTTAAGGCTTCTGTTGTAAAGACCGCTTTAGGCCACATTCTCAACCGACAGGAGGATTTGCTGAAAATTTGTCAGTTTTAGTAAAAGCTACTGTTTTTTTTCCCCCACAATCACATCCAGTATGAGAAAATAACCTATAAATGGGACCTTGAGTAAAGCCGACTGCCATGAAAAGTAAATTTAGATGGATAAACACTACATTTACTCAAATTAAGGCTGGGCGATATAGCTAAAAAATCGTGATATTTTCATTATATTCGATTTAACAATTAATTTGTTTTCAAAAAAAAAAAAGTCCCCTGTGAAAAAGACATCTGGACAGAACGTTTAGTCACAAATTGTTTACTGCAAAAATCAACACTAGTTACTTATTTATATGAACCTCTTATTTACATCACGTTTAGTTATAATGAGACGATTCAAGCATGTAGAACACAACAAGTGGATTCCCCGTTGACTAATTTAAGCACCTGTGATTGGTCATTGTGTTTCGGAGCTCATTGGCTACAATGCTCAACGCTGTTAAACATGTTGCAAATAGAAACATTTGATGCCGTCTACGGTGCTCTCACACACATATGCGTGGGAGTGTTTGAAAGCAGCTGCTTACGGCCTTTCTAAGACATACTTTTAACATTAAAAGATAACCTCTCCAATGTTCAAACTATCGCCCAGCCCTAACTCATACTACACAGGGGTTAAACCTGATTAGATTCTTTGGTACTTCAAAAATAACGTGCTGGGGAGTTGTTTTAATTCACAGAATGAGAGTTAACTGGCGGTAAAGTTCTAGGTGAGGATCGTTCCCTTAGTGCCTGAGACAGGAGAGTGCATCCGTCCGAGACGGCGCACGCAGAGTTGCGCAGACGCTCCCGGTAGACGGGCATCTGGGAGCTGCTCTCGGGATGCTGGGAAATATCCCTGAGGCCCTGGGTCAGGAGGACGCAGGCCGACACCACGCTCATGGCGCCGCCCAGGACGGCCGTCTGCACCCCCTTGCCCTCGGGGGTGATGGCGGCGGCTTTTCCGAGGAACTGCGGCTCGGTGGCGAACCCCACCAAGGCGTGGACGGCCTGCACGAGCGGGCCACTGAAGAGGACGCAGCGGTTGCGGGTCAGCTCGCTGGGGCAGGCCTTCAGCTCACGCATGCACGCCAACAGAGCCGTGGCGCTTGTGCTCATGCACTTGACGCTAGCTTTGAACTGCTCCTTGGCGAACTTGTCCTTGGATTTATCACTGGCCAGAGAGGAGGCGTCCGTGAGCGTGGTGAGGTTCTTCAGGATGTTCTGCGACACCTCCAGAAGGAGCTGCGGCGTCAGGTCGGCCAGAGCTGTAAGGCGTAGAGTGTTGCACGTCTGCTCCACTTCGTGGCGGCAGCGGGTGACTTTATAGCGGTCCACCAGGCCGGGAACGGCAGCCTGTGAGCCTGGTATCTCCACTGCCGCCAAGTACGCGGCATGCGCCGAATACTCTGTCAGCGAGACCACCAGGTCCCCCATCTCCAACAGTCGGTCCCCGACCTCCACAAACTTCCCCATGTTGAGCTGGCTCTGAATGTCATGAACAATAATAGACAATTCCTTAGTTCGGGCGATCAAGGTGTCGCGGCATTTCTCGAACGTCTCTGCTATGAGCAGGCCGTCGGAGTTCACCACCGGCCTGGTCTCGCTGGACAGCAGGAGCAGGTCCGCCACCAGCTGCATTTTGCTCTTGCATGCGTCACAGATGGATAAAAGTCTTTTTCTTTGTTGCAAGCTGCCACTAGGGATGTTGGTAGAAACCTCACTATCTGATTTTCCAGAGCCACTACTAGCCATAGTAGTGTGGTCGCTCTAATGTTCAAAATAAAGATCGCAACACACGTTCTCTTGTGCGAAACATGTGATTTATGTCATTTTCTTCAGTAATAAAAGATTTCCACACCTTCTCAAGGAGAGTGAAACTGGCCAAAGAGTCTTCTATAATGTCCTTCAGAAGAAAAAGTCCACTCAGCTTCTTTGCGAACACACAGGACACTTTGATAACTCAAAATAATATGAAACTTCACTCAATGCACCTGTGAGAATAAGGGAAGTACTTTTGAAGAAAAAAAAAATATTCCTATAATAAAAAATGCAGGCAAAATAGGCTGGTGAGAGCTATAGTTAAATATCCCTTCAATTGAAAAACTCTGAATTGCCCAATGTTTAAATAATCAGATTTTAAATGTGCATAATGAAAGAAATAATACAATTCACAACTACCTCTGGTAAGGTAGGCTACAGTCTGATCAGTTTCACAGGTTGTCAATGTTGCTCCAACAATGCAAACAAACCCCAAAAAATCTTTTAAAAGGCTACTGCAGTGCCATGAACGAGAAGATGGCCAGATGAAGGCAAAGTGCAGGTTGACTTCCAGAATTTGTCATTTCAGGTTTTCTTCGTGTCATGCAAATTAAATGCATTGAAATACACGTCCTGCAATATGATGCTGATGATGTATTGACCGTCTTGCTGACCCTGCGTCCGAAGCTCGAGACGCGCGGGCGCCCGGCGCCACTGCACCATCATCCCACGAGACCTTGAAAACTCATCAAATATTCCCGAACGACTTTCAGCCGTTTCTTTTTCGTACACAATCCAAGTTCTGTGGGAAAACACAGTTCCTTATGCATATCTATTGTCCATACGCCCTCTCCAGCAGAAAAGCAGCGGTTGTCCAGTGGCAGATAGTTTCGCTTTTGCTTGCCATTGTTTTAACGTTCAGCTTAATGTTTTATTGTAGTTTCCTCGACAATAACGAACTTAGTTCGCTACTGAGACTCTCGCGCGTCGGTTGTAGTCTCCCGCTACATCTTGCGTATCAGGAAGCGACGGGAGGGTGTGGCTGAATAGCCTGTTAGCTTCCCTCAAACTCCGACACTTTTATACACTCCACAACCATTATTCCTGGTCATAGAAACGAAACTCCTCCTTTTAATCCAGCAGCCGCTCAACCGATACGCTTATTTTACAGAGGTAATGTTAGTCGCGCGAGAAGTCGTGTTCATTCCTCACCAGTCATCATTTCCCGAGGCCCCGTTGTGAGACTCAACTACCGGTCTGAAGGCAAAAGTTACACCCAAAGACAAATCCCAGAGAAGTTCCTTGTGTTACCCTTTTTGTTTGTTTGTTTTTTCTTGTTTCTGGTGTTTCGCCCATACAGTTTGCGCTTCCCTGTAAATCCAACAGGTCTCTCGCGTGTGGGGTATTTACTACTTTCACAATGTTCGCTTTCAGAGCGGCATAGAGTGAGTTATTTTTTTGTTTAGTGGACACGCCGGTTGTATTATTATGCGTTTGTATTTTAAACGTACTGAAACTTGTATTGTTTTGACTTTCTTGAATAGATTTGCCGTCACAGGTTTGTGTTGTTTAAGTATATTTCGTGTTAATATAGTGTTTTAATTATACGAGTTTGCTCCATTTATTTATATTGATGTGAGCAGTAAGTACTTTGTTTATTTATCTATTATTAACGTTTATGTTAGTGCTGTGGGATTTTAGTTGTAAGTATACATATTCGTGGGGTCCTAATGCAAATAATAATAAACAAAAAGCTACCCTACCGCGCTCATAAAAACATCAGATTTGCCTCAAAACAGCTGATTTATCTTGGGAAGGGAAATAGGATTCGCCGATGCAAAACTATGACGTAAATGCGCGTAAATGCAGTAGAGTACTTTTCATTAGACAAAAAGAGACGCTGGGAGTGTGAAGGAGCCAATGAGAAACTACAGGGTGGGGCTGTTGCAGTGAAACCACCCCTCTTTGGATTTGGGATGGGCTTTCGTCAAAGAACTACTTATGATTATCTAAATATTGCATTTTGAAGATTTACAAGCATACGCATTCATAAGTATACGTTGGCCTATCGTTAACCCTTTGACATTATACAGTGTGTTTCACTACTCAATTGCCCATTTTCAAACAACATACTCTTCATATTCAATATAGATCCCTGATGTAGGCATTGTTTGGTCTGTTTCATTATTAAATTGCAAAAGTAGACAGCTACTGGATTACACAAAGCATTTGTTATGAAGTGTGTTGTATCTGAACTGGGGGTTGAGGGAGGCTGTGAACACTGCATGTCAGTTGTACAGCTGCACGGGGCACTGTGCCATTGGGTGGGGTGTCCTGAGAGGAAACAGTTCCGATTCTGTTGAATGAGCCGCACACACTTCACATGAGTCCCATGACAAGCACTTTAGAGACCCATGTGAAGTGAAGAGCTGAAAACCCCTGAAATCTGAATTATTTTGTCTCCTCTTCATTTAACTGTGACTGTGTGGTTTCCTTTTGTTTTCATTGTTTGTTTTGTTATTGCTTAAACATACACTAAGATTATACATGCACCTTTTTATGCAAAAATTGAACATTATATAACAATGCATATATATATTTTTTTTTTGCTAGGGGTAATATAAAATCAACACAAGAGTGTTTCAGGTATATCAAATAAATACTGAATGTGAAATTTGATCAACATGTATGCCTGAGTAAGAGTATTTAACTTTTCTTCAGAATAATCTGTGAAGCATAACAGTGTTGTAATTCTGTACATGTCAGTATTTATTTTCCTAAATTCCAATTAACTGTGTAGATCATATATAAACAGCTTTTAAAATAGAGTTAGTGGATGTTATTATTGTATTATAAGAATGTAAATCCACTAAGATATGCACTGAAACTCTTTCAAAGATGCAAAATCTGTAACTAAATTAAAATCTTTCCAAACGTAGGCCTAAATGTGGATTATTTTGTTTTGTTGTTTACAATGTAGCCTAAACTTATTAACTTTCTATTTTGTGTTTGGTCCCCATGCTGATTTTTCATTCGCCACTTTATTACTTAATTATTTAATGTATATGTATATTATAGTATTTTGTGTTATATTTTCCTTGCAACAAATAAATGGAAGATAAAAAAATCCTGCCACGTGATCAGGCAAACACGTCCTCTTCCTTTAGCCAATGACGAGCGGAACGATTTTACCCAATCAGCGAGCTCCATGTTTAAAGATGGCGACTCCCGTCAGCTGCCGGGCTGTATCAGTATTGCTTTTTCTCATATTATTCATATCGGTTCATTGTACAGAAACTAAAGCAAAGAAGAAGAAAGACATAAGGGATTATAATGACGCGGATATGGCCAGACTGCTGGAGGAATGGGAGGTATGAACGAACTCATCCACGCTGCAGCTGCAGGCATTTCATACGCTGTTTTCTGTGCTGATGCAGACTTCAGTCAAGTGCCTCTAACAATAAAATACCACGGCAACCGCCAGAATACCGTCGTTTTGTCATTTAGTTTATGTAGGTGCGTCTGTATGTTAATCAACCCCACACTTTTATCGATTAACTACCACATTTCTACCACAACAGTATCTGCCATATTTTGATGTGAACTATAAACATGGTTACATGTTTTTTGTATATTCTTCATTCATAAGTTCTTTCTGTGTATGTACACGTTTTAAAAAAGTTCGTTGTTCAATGTTCCTTCCAAAATTGTAGTTTTTCTTTTGTATGCATATTGCATTAGATACAGTGCTTAACATAAGTTAATACACCCATGCTAAAGTTGCTTCCTTAAAATACAGGGTGCATAAGTCAGGACACCACTATGTTAAATTCCCATAGAGGCAGGCAGATTTTTATTTTTAAAGGCCAGTTATTTCATGGATCCAGGATACTATGCATACTGATAAAGTTCCCTTGGCCTATGAAATTAAAATAGCCCCACATCACATAGGCTGCCCTTCATACCTTGAGATTGGAATACCTAGAGATTGGCATGGGTATTTTCCATAAGATTGTCTCTCAATGCAAATCAAACCAGCTGGCTAACTGAAATAAAATGCCAATCATGCCAATCTTTAGCTATGGGGAAGGGTAGACTTCTATGTGATGTATATTTTAATTCTAAGGGCCAAGGGAACTTTATCAAGATTCAGGATGCATAGTATCCTGAATCCATGAAATAACTGGCCTTTAAAAATAAAACTCTGCCTGACTCTATGGGAATTTAACATACGGATGTCCTGACTTATGCACACTGTGTTTTAAGGAATAATATTTATTTACAATACATTACTCATTCACAACGAAAATTGGTGTCCTTAAAGATTGATTTTTTTTCCTATTTTTTTTTTTAAATTTAGACATTAAGATCAATTTCCAAAAGATTATTTTTTTTATTCCTCTTTTTAATCAACTTTAGCATGGGTGTATTCTCTCATGCTAAGGCTAAGCACTGTATATAGATGGATAGATAGATTGATTTTACACATTTTATAGGGACACTCCTTGAGTCAAAGGTTGCCTGTGAAAGACTATGGTTCACAGTTTTTAGCCAGGTAGTGTTAGTCATTTACAAAGTATTAAAGTATACAAATATTTAAAGATTAAAACTGTTGTAATATTACCTGCATATATTTACATTCTGAATCTACAGTGGACAATACATTAAAATTGGAATATATTTATTATTCTAAATAAACCATATAAAATCTTTAGTTTAAAATTGCATGTTGTAAAGTTTTAACATTAAATATTATATTAATAAAGTTAAGTATCTAAATATAAAATATTGGATATATAAAGTTTGAAAATAAAATGACGCTCTAACGTGATTATCATATTTTCCCTTCTTTGCTTGACTTTTATCTCCTACGCCCTGCCCTAACAACCATACAATTTTGCCATTTTAAAAAGAGATTTTCTTTCTTCAGTGTTTCTCATTGACATGTTTTCATTTATGACAGAAAGATGATGACATCGAAGAGGGCGATTTACCGGAGCACAAGAGGTCTCCTCCACCCATCGACTTCTCAAAAATAGATGCATCCAAACCAGAGGAGCTCTTGAAGATGTCCAAGAAGGGAAAGACCTTGATGGTGTTTGCCTCTGTGTCAGGAAACCCGACAGAGAAGGAGACGGAAGAGATCACTGGCCTGTGGCAGGGAAGCCTCTTCAATGCCAACTTTGATGTTCAGAGGTAACAACCAGGGCTGGGAAATGTGAACAAAAAAAATGAACATATCTCTCAGACATCTACTCTCAGACAACAGAATAAGATAGGCCTACACATTGTCTAATGGCGCTTTTCCATTACCAGTACCAGCTCGACTTGGCTCGCTTTTCGCTGCGTTTTCCATTGCAGACAGTACCGCCACAAATAGTACCCGGTCGTCATAGCGACGCCGCAGGAAACTGCCGTGACGTAATCTTATTTTCGTTCTTAGTTGCCCCATCAAGCTCTTGTTGGATCCTCTCTTCGGCAATCAAACAAAGGAAACTATGTGAAAATGGCGGGGTTATACTGGATACTCCATCTGGCGCGTGCAATGCTGACGCAGTGAATAGAGACGATTCCCTCTGACCAATCAGCAGTCGGCATTGTTTCCACGTCACATTTTAGGATCAAAGCGCCATAACAGTGTAGCCGATACTTGCACATGGGCGAGGGGTGTGATTTTCGACTAATAATCGAATAATACCCAGCGATCTCCGAGTATTATTTTTGCTTGAAATGTCAATCCCTAATCTCTATATTTTCGGGCTGAATGGCGATATACAGGATATATCTCTGTGTTTTCTACTTGGATAAAAAAGAGCGTTTTTTTTTTGTTGTTAATGCACATCTTTGCCAGTGTTGTTCTACAAACAATGAAAGTAAATATAAAAACATGGAAACAAATGAGCATTTTAGCACTTATGGTTCTATCATCCTGAAGTCAATGTGTTTTTGGTTAAAGGAGTAGTTCACTTAAAAAAAAAAACTTTTCCTGATATTTTACTCACCCCCATGTCATCCAAGATGTCCACGTCTTTCTTTCTTCAGTTGAAAAGTAATTAAGGTTTTTGAATGAAAACATTCCAGGATTTTCTCCATATAATGCACTTCATTGGGAACCAAATGGTTCAAGGTCCAAATGAGAGTTTCAGTGCAGCTTCAAAGGGCTTTAAACGACACCAGACGATGAATAAGGCTCTTATCTAGGACCCTTCAAGTCATGACTCGAAAAAAGATTTCTTCATTTTGATGAACGAGTTTGAACGGGAGAGTCACGCTCATCACAATACAGCAAGGTGAGCATTTCTGCTTATAAAACTTAAACGTTTTTTATTTGTTTTTGAACTGACCGATTGTCTCGCTAGTTAATGATCGATTCATCTTCTGGTGTCGTATAAAGCCCTTTGAAGCTGCAACTCTCATTTGGACCTTGAACCGTTTGGTTCCCAATGAAGTCCATTATATGGAGAAAATATCCTGGGATGTTTTCATCAAAAACCTTAATTTCTTTTTGACTGAAGAAAGAAAGACATGGACATCTTGGATGATATGGGGGTGAGTAAATTATCAGCAAAAGTTTTTTTTTTAAAGTGAACTACTCCTTTAAAATACTGAAAGATTATTTCAGGTTTTATTCCAAAGCATAAAATACATCATTACTATGTTACGTTATTTATTTTTACAAAAATTTAAGCTGTTGCGAGTTTTTAAAAATGCGGTTTGCTAACAAGTAGCGAAATGGGACTACAGAGGCTGTCAGGAAGATTAAATGTAATCCCGCCGAACAGGTACACTCAGTCCGCTTTTACAGTCTCATTATGCTTATAAGTGTACACTTATAAACTATTCTAACTCAAAGTTTCTGGTAAAATGTTATTTCAATAAAAACAGAAAGTGTTAATTTTAACAAAATAAGAGGTATCATACAAAATGAATGGACAATATTTTCAGGACAGTATTTTTTTATTTAGTACTGTCCTGACTATGATATTTTTTAACTTAAAAGATGTTTACGTATTTCGCAAGCGTATTGCATTCACTTGAAGAAAAAAAATCTTTTTTTGTTCTATTAAAAAAAAATTTTTTTGTTATATTATCTCAGAATTACAAGATAATTTTTCATGTAAAAATTTTTGCTCTGTTTTTCTGAATTAACAAGTTAATTATCTCAATTACAATTACAAGATCATTTTTCATGTAAAAAAAGTTTTTGCTCCATTTTCTGAATTAACGAGTTAATTATCTCAGAAATACAATTGCAAGATCATTTTTTCATGTAAAGGTTTTTGCTCTGTTTTTCTGAATTATCGAGTTAATTATCTCAATTACGAGAATTTTTCATGTAAAATGTTTTTGCTCTGTTTTTCTGAATAAACGAGTTAATTATCTCAGAAATACAAGATAATTTTTCATGTAGAAGTTTTTGCTCTGTTTCACTGAATTAACGAGTTAATTATCTCGAATTACGAGAGAATTTTCATGTAAAGTTTTTGCTCTGTTTTTCTTAAATAACGAGTTAATTAACTTAGAATTACAAGATAATTTTTCATGAAAAGTTTTTTTCTGAATTAACGAGTTGATTATCTCAGGATTACAAGATCATTTAACTCGTTAATTCAGAAAAACAGAGCAAAAACTTTTTTTACATTAAAATTATCTTGAAATTGTAATTCTGAGATAATTAACTTGTTAATTCAGAAAAACAGAGTTGATTTTTTTTTCTTCAAGTGAATGTAATATGCTTTCGTAACAGTCCACAAGACAAAAATATATAAAAAATTACCCCATTCAAACTGTACGTACCCTTGATTCTCAGTACTATGTCATTTCCTGAATGATCCACGGCTTACAGAAGCATTACAATGTACGTTCCTGGAACAAATTATGTATTTGCCTTGATCTTCAAGTTCAAAAAAGTTTTCACCGGCTCTTAATGCTTCGTGTTTCCTTCTGGAGCATCAGTCAACGTTTCAACCTTGTTTTAATAGTTGCGTTTAACTCCCCATAATGTCCTCCGTGTGAAAAGATGGATCTCAAAATCACAGTCACTGTTAGGAAGAGTTCAAATATGCAAAAGATGCATTTTGCAGATCTGAATCGCTGCTTTTTTTTTTAAGCTTTCCTAACCAGCTTTCTTTCTCTTGAAATGCTTTTTGGTTGCTCTGTGAAAAATCACTGAAGGTTACTGTTTGTTTTTTGTCTCATCAGGTTTGTCGTGGGATCCAACCGAGTCATCTTCATGCTGCGTGACGGGAGTTACGCCTGGGAGATTAAAGACTTCCTGATCGCTCAGGACCGCTGTGAGGATGTGACCGTGGAAGGACAGGTGTTCCCTGGGAAAAATGCCAAGAAAGATGCCAAGGGCAATGAGCAAAACGACACCAAGAAGAAAGGAGACAAGAAAGCAGCCAACCGAGCAAATAAAAGCAAGCAAGAGCTTTGATAGCCGAAGCTCAAAGGCACAACGTCTTAATGGGACCGAAGAAGCATTTCTCTAACAAGTGTTACCAGCGTACTTTGATGCACAGGTCACTAACGGTTGACTACAGTCAAATCAGCTGTAGTTTCAATTTCTTTGATTTATTTTATTGTCACTCACCTCATTTTTCACACTCTGAATAAATCACTTTTATAATTACATGTGCATTGCATTGATTATTTACAGTCAGTGTTGGGGAAAGTTTCTTTTAAAGGTAATTCATTACAATATTGTTATTCATTACTCTCTAAAAAAGTTACTAATTGCCTTACTTTTTTGGAAAGCAATGCATTACGATATGTTTGGATTACTTTTTGTTTGTTCTGAAAAAAAAAATCGATTTTTGTCAAATGTAAGGGCTCTTTTCCCACCAAAAGTGAAATGAATAAACCTCAGGCTGAAGGAATTTCTTAATCTTCTATTTTTTGTTGACTTTTTTTTTTAAGCATCTAGTAGGTTTACAACACGAGCAGTCGCTCAGTAGCAATAGAGTTATGAGTCGTCTGATTTATCTGAAGATTTACATAACACCGTGCTGAAGGATGTTGAAATGCATTTGGAGGATCATGTGGCAGACGCGAACTGATTTGGAATCGGTCAAACAGCTTCTGGCAAAGAAAATGAATTTAGCAGCAGCAGAGAGTCATATTGCCCCAGTTTGAAAAAGAGAGCAACATTAGGCGCTAATAGAGTAATCGATCATTCTTTCCCTTCTGAAGCACCATATGCCATGATACCCGGGAAAACGCGAGTACATCTCATGGAAAGCTGTGAGCTTTTCAGCACTTTACTGAATGAGAAATGTGATCTAATTGAATTGAAAAATGATTTTGTGTGTGTGTGTGTCTGTGTGTGCAATCATCCATTAACATTCATCCATTCATGCAGGCATTTGTTGTTCATCATCCTATGTTGACACATTTGTTCAATCCTGACAGAACATATGTGACAATGTTTTTATGGCGAACTAATGGAGAGCCCAAATGCAAAATTCATTACAGTTTCTATACTAAATGTTTATTTATGAGCAAACAGATTTTTGCTTATAAAAACTTGTATGCATTGTGCTTGTACAAGTGCATGTACAATATCTATGTACAAGTGCTTGTATGCATTTTTTTTTATCCTGTCGTCTCCACAAAAAAAATATAATAGTAAATTGCAGTTGTTTGATTCATGATGTTATAATTGCAGTTTTATAATTTTGCCATATAGTTTTTAAGACTAAACGCCTCAAACTTCTGCATAAACACCATAGTCAGAATTCACACAAATTCTTCAATTAGACCTATTGACACAATTCATTCCAATACATCCAATACCTCGTTTTTGTCGCGTACGTCTATAACGTCCAACACATTGAAATTTTCTGGGATACTATTAACTACACTGAACAAAACTGTGTTAGTGAGCACTTCTCCTTTTCCAAGATCATCCATCCCCCTAAACAAGTGTGGCATATGTTCAGTGTAGGATTTCCAATACCAGCCAATACCCGTGTTTTCAATTGAAGCACAGTGTTAAACTACTGGTCACAATTGTGACCGTTAACAAATTTACAAGTCTTACAAGCAAAATATATATGCAAGAGTATAATTCTCAAAATATATCAGTAGTAGACCCTTTAAAGAATATATGTACAAAATATGATAGTTCTATCTGTGAATTAAGATGTTTTGCATACTACTTTTTGTAGTAGTCTGAGGAAGACATTTGCTGTGTCCGAAATCTCCTCTCAAACCACTGCTCCCTACCCCCTACGTTCGAACAGGACGGTCACGAACGTGCATTACAGAACAGCGCAAGGCGAGCATTTGAGCTTATAAAACTTCAATTTTATTTAGTTATTTAAAACTTTATTTTTTTTAATGAGCGATCGTTTCGCTTGAGAAGACCGTTATTCATCGTCTGGAATCGTTTAAAGTTCTTTGAACAGTTTGCACTGAAACTCTCTTTTGGACCTTGAACTGTTTGGTTCCCATTGAAGTCAATTATATGGAGAAAAATCCTGGAATGTTTT